ACACACACACACACACTCACTCACAAATGCATGCACACAGCCAATTAAGGTCATTTGTATTTAGGAGTTGACTGCTTGGGATTGGGTAACTTATCATGAGCTCATCCCTGGAGAACAGTAGGATCAGCAGGGTGGAGTGAAGCCACAGCCAGGCCTTGTGTACACTCATGCCTTGAAGAAGTTGCCCAGCTGCATGATTGCCCTGACTCTGATATTTGATAGTTGAGATGAAGAATAGTTTGGATTTGGGCTTCCTTACAAAACCTCTGTGATTGATACTTCTCCCAGAGGCCATGCTGGTCCTCGGCCTATGCTTCGGCCAAGGGCCACGTGGTTGTCTGCAGAAGTCCTTGGCATGTTTGCTGCAGGAGACCATGTGGCTGCTCCGTGTCTGTGCTGTTGACAGAAACCATGTAGAAGACCAGGATCCATGCTCCCACTGACTGTAAAGTGCAAGGGAAGCCACTCAGGCAGTGATTTCATGACAACAGATGCACAGTTGAGAAAGGGGAAGATAGGAGGCTTCTGTGACAATCCCTACCAGCAGTCAAGCAAAGATGTCACGCCACGCACTGGAGCGCAGAGTTTGTTCTTCCTGAAACTGAAACGCTGTCTTCCTGCCTTGAGAAACCTGTTTGCCCAGGTGTGAGGGAAGGCTGTGCCCACAACAACAGTGAAAGAGCTGTGTCACCTTCCCCGCCTTCCCTGGAGGCCTGGACAACTCTGAATCCAGACAGCATATGTTCGCTTTGCTCCAGGGCCTTGCCACAAGAGCATACACTGTCCCTCAGAAGCCAAGGCCCCGTGTCTAGAGTAAGATTTCAGGCCTTGCCTGTCACCTCGTGGAGGAGGAGTCAGGGTCCTTCCCAGTCTTAAGTGAGAGAGAGAAGTTGTTAAAGGCCACCGCATGCCACTGAGGAGCCTGAGGTTCAGACACTGACTCCAGGAGGTTTTGACCAGGCTAGGCTGTGCAGGTATGTTTTTGGTGACTAGAATGCAGGTCTCCCTGTATTCCTTGCTCCGCTTTTCTCCATCTCTGGTACTCTGTTGTTATCTTTCTCAGACATTCCCATCTATATACTTCTCCTTTCCTCTTAGAATTAAGCCTCTATCTGTGCACACAGGGTCTCCTTTGTTTCTCAGGTACCATCTGGAGAGCTGAAGACAGGGACCCAAGAAGAAGGCAGCAGGCACCCACTCTGTCCTCACAGGCCATGTGATTTCCTTGCTGGGATCCAGACTTGCCCCTCCCTCCAGCCCTGTGAGAGAGCCGTGTTCTATGGTGCGGTGCTGCTGGTGTTGTCTCTTAGGGCTAGTGTAGTGCCTCTGCCGCTGCTCAGGGCACAACCTGAGCTGGGCCTGGTACAGATGTGCTGGTGAGTGGATGAGCTCTGGGTTTGAAGGGAACTGAACATGAGTGTGTGAAAATGGCATCCCCAGGTCTGGAGGTCCTAGAATTGCATGGAGGAGAAGAAAGTGAAGACTGTAGTGGTAATCAATGGCATGGAACCAAGATCCAGATACAGGGGGGCCTCCAGTACCCACTTTAGCTGCCCTTGCATCTTGCTCAGTGCTCCAATTGGAAGGGGCCACGCAGAGCTTATCTCTATCCAACTACAGGAAGGATAGCCTTTCTCTGTTCTCTCTCTGGAGACATAGGGCCAGAAGAGCAGGGACAGTGGTGCTGAACGCTCTTAGAGTCATCTAAGCCCAACTTCAAAACCCAAACAAGCCACAGAATTTAACCAATATTTTTTCCATGTGAAAGTAGTAATAATAAAGCCAACTGAGGTGTTTGTGATGTAAGTGACTCCATAATATAAGCAGAAATCTTAAATGTCAGTCTCCTACCCTTCGTTGTTGTGGATGAGGAAGCTCTCAGCAGGAATCCTGGCAACAAGTGGCTTTACAGGAAGAACTTGTAAGCAGCCCGGGTGCAGGCCAGTAGGAGGTACAGAGAGCCTGCCCAGAATTACTGAGGAAAGGAGCCAGGCAAGGAGACAGGAGACTTGAAGGCAACTGCCAGAAAGGGCCTTCCCTTTCATGAAAGAACTGATTGTATAGTACATGGAAAAGGGAAGGACTGCTACTACTCTATATGTTCAAGCCTCTGAGGCCGTGGGCTCAAGGCCTCCCCATCAGCAATTCCTTCACTTGGTCAAAAGCTCCCAAATGACCTTTTCTAGGGGCAATGTCTGTCCTTTGGGTTGAATTAAAATTGAGTGCCACAATTGTGGCACTGGGGACTAAGTGAGGAGAAGGACTCCCGGGGTGGTGGGGGAAGCTAAGGAAAAAAAACAAACAAACAAACAAAAAAAAAAAAAAAAAACATGCAGGTTCTCCGAATGTTCCCAGGCTGGGAGCCAGAGAAGGCTTCGGAGGGATGACGGTGAAGGAGAACACAGTCACAAAAATCCAGAGATGAGAGCTAGCATGCCTCTTCCCTGAGTCCTCCCCCCGCCACCACACAGGCCAACAGCAAGAAAGCACAGGCAGTGTTCTGACCCCACCTCTGAGGGGTGTGGGAGAAAGGACAGAACAGACACACCAGGAGAGGCTGGGGGTATGGGAGACATGAGCTGTTCAAAAGGACTGAGATGGTAGCTAGTGACCCAGAATGATGAGGCTGAGAAGTCAGCCGGGGATATGCTAGCCAGGACTCCTAAAGGGTACTGAGTTGATCTGCTTGACATGGGTCTGATCTTCCATGTACTGTGAGCTGTGGGTGGAACAGGCTGGACTTAGAGAAGTGATCCTAAGAGCAATTTTCTTACGTCTGTTGTCCATTAGGACATTGCTCTCACATCTTTAAATTAAAATTCAGGCCATTTTCTGGTTACAATTACATGTAAATTCTGACATTTTAAGCTTGAACAAACAGCCTCAATTCAGATGTTACTCAGAAATTGTAATGCCAAGCGCCTCAGACTGTTCGATACTTCATTTAGTCTTTATCCAACAGCCAGACTTCTCTTCCCAGTGCATCCTGCCCTCTCTAGAGCTGGCTTCTCCAAAGTGCTGTTGCCTAGTCTAGGAGCTACAATCAGAGGAGAAAAGAGAGATGCTCTCAGTGCAGAAGTTCTGACTTGAGAAGGCTTTCCTAGAGAACTGAGAACAGGCAGAAGGGTGGCTCTTTCCTGGGGATGTCCCTCAATGTCACCCCAAGACGCACCAAGTCCTTGGCTGCCAGGATTCAGTGTTCACTGCTGTATTCTGACAGCTTTAATATTATGCGGCCAAACTTGTTGGCTTAGGATTAGAACCACTGCAAAGCCTGGGCTCAGCCTTCGACACTTGTAAGGAGGCAGCTGAGCACATGGCCTAGGGTAGTAGAGCCCTTAGAGCCCAGAGGGCCTTTTTGAGTGTGGAGGGCAGGACATTCTAGGATCAGCTCTCTTCACCCTGCTGTACCCTCATCCTTCTCTGAAGGAATGAGCCACCGGAAGTGCTATGCCATTCTCCGTGGCCTAGGCTCACACCGAGCCTCTGACCCTCCCTAACAGCATCCACGCAGCTGCAAGCTTCATTTCCCAGTGCCCTTCCACATTGTGTATATCAGGGACTGTCCTCCACATTTTTCTGAGGTTGCTAACAATGACTGAGCTCCTTACCCCTCTGGCTTACTTGATAAACACTTATTAACATCTAAATACATGTGAAAGGCACCTTTGCCTCTCTGTCCTTCTGGCCTCTAACCTAAATGGATGCTACACTCTGCTGGACTTATTTCAAACAGCTACTCTGGCAGATCCACGAGCAACTCCTTGCGACTCTGGATGGCCCATACCTGTTATTCTGGGCTAAGGGGCCAAGCCAAAACAAGTCCACTACTCTGTTTTTTGCTTTCTTTATCCCCTAATTACCGGCGAGGAGACTCTGTCCCCTACTCTCAGCCCTCTGCTTCTCACGAAACCCTGAGGCTGGGATGCAAGGTCAATGCTGCCCCTTTATTTACTCCAACCTGAGACTGCCCTGTTTATGCATCACTCACAGACTAAAAAGTCCATGGGTAGCTAGTACAGGCATGCTCTGTGCCTGGTATTTGGACCTATTGGCTAAATGGTGGCTGATACCGGTTTCTCTATCTTAGCACCGACCTCCAAAGAGTCCAGAGTTTGCAGAGGATGGTGGGAGCACATTCTAATCCCCTGAGTGCAGGGAGATAAGGAGGGTGCCATGCACATTGATGAGAAGGATATCTAAGTTCAGAGACAGCAGCTTGCCCAAAGCCTTCAGGAGTATGGCAAAAGAGGCATTGGGGAGCAGAAACACAGACACTAAAGCTTTGAAGATGGTCTTCCTCAGTGAAATCTGCCTATTCCCAGGTAGACCCTGACCTCATCCATTTTACCATTCACAGCTGGGACAGGAAATGTAGATTGAGATTGAAATGTAAATTTCAATTTGTAAATTTCAATTTCAAAATGTAAATGTAAATTTATATTGAAAATATAAATTTGGCCTCCCTTGACACAGATGGCCTTGTTCTTTGCAGGAAAACGTCAGCTTTTCCTGGGTCTCCGTTTCCTCCACTGTAAAACAGGGAACCTTGGCAAGGCAGCAGAGGCTTTACAAGGATGATCATAGAGTCTTCCTCTCTCTTCCCTCCTCTCCCTCTTTCTGGGTAAAGGAAAGTTGTATTAAACTGGCAACTAAGAAATTTGAACTTCAGCCTCAGTTCTGCATTCACGTCCCTCGGTTCCTCTTCCACAAAGCAGCTGGTTGGGCACCTTGATTTCTAGAGTGTGCGTGTTCAACACACACAAATACATGTTCGCGCAGATACATACAATGGCAGCAGGCAAAGAGAGGAAGGAAGCAAGTCTTGCAGGGGAAGGCACTGCAGTTAAGAGAAAAGTGGGCAGGACCTCACAAGCCAGTAAGACTCCTCTATTTCTCAAAGGCTAATTATACGTGGGTTTGTTTAATCATTAAGGAAAAGCAATGAAGCCAGAAGGACATCAAAGTCCAGACTGCTGAGAACCAGTGTAACAAACGAGCAAGGAGCTAGCAGCAATGGAGCCCGGAGCTTCCAGGGATAGAATCAGAGCTGAAACAGCAACACGCTCAGCACTGGGCTCTGGAGTCAGCCTGCACACCTATGACATCGTGGTGGTGGTCATCTACTTTGTCTTCGTTCTTGCTGTGGGAATCTGGGTGAGTGAGAATGAAGGAATGCTGAAGCCTGGCAGAGAGGCAGAGAGGTAGAGAAACCTCTCATCTTGAGCTTTGGAGAGGAATGACAAAACAATAATAATAATAATGAAGAATACACAACCATTGGTAGCTGAGCCTATGGTGCTTTAGGAATCATCTACTTCCAACCTGGCTCTCTGTATATGCATGACTAAGGCCCAGAGAGGGCGCATGGCCTGCCTGCTTGTCACACAGTGAGCCAGGGGCAGATTAGGACAGTAACTCTGACTCCCGACCCCTTTAACTTTGACCCTGACCCTTATTTACTCTGCCCTAAGACAGCCAAGTCAAAGAAGGCTTGACCCCCCCTCCCCCAGCCTTTCTCCATCTCTCCTAGTGACTCGAACAAGGAGCTCAGACCCACACTCTCTCAGGGAATAGCAACTTCCAGATTCCAATGTTCCTATTGTTCACAGAAACCACAACACTAAGGGCAGGTGCGAGGCCTTGGGATCAGAGAACCTTCAAGAGCCCAGATCTTACTCCAGCCATCAGAGCATCCCTGGGGAACTGGAAACCTCTCAGTTTCCCTGAGTTGATACTATTGAAAGCTATAGTTCAGTGACAGGACACGCATAAGCACCGGGCACATTGCCATAAACAGCTGCTGTTATCAGCACTGGATCCTGCTGAGAGGCCAGTCCCTTCGGACTGCTGTGAGGGTATCACCGTAGTCTAAGCTGGCCAGGACCTCCGATGGACCTCAGTCCCCTCCTCTGTGGGGGAGTCGCTAGCCCTCATTTCTCAGGCTTGGTATGGGGAAGAAGTGGACAGAGAGGAGCCCAGCACCTACTGCGAGGTACTCAGCATGAGAACCCTAATTTCTGTGCGGGTGGGACAAGTCCTTTCTTACCCTGTAGCTCAATTTCTCATCCTTGAGATGGATTTATATTGCTCCTGTTGCCCTCTGGAGGCTCAGAGGTGACACAGGAATATGCTAGCCAAAGCTCAACACATGCCAGGCCCTGTATATGTGCTTATCGCTCCCTAGTGACTAATAACCTTTTCTTTCTCCTTCCTCAGCTTCAAGAATCTTTTCTCAGGTCTAGTCAGGCTTGTTGCCTCCCACTCTGAAGTAACTTCTATTCCTGTGTCAGCTTTCTGTTGTGACACAACTTGTAAGTCACTTGAAGGATGTAAAGATATATTTAGACTCCAGGTTTCTGAAGCCTCGAACCATGGTCAGCTGACTCTGTAACAATGGATGTATGGGAAGGCAACAGAAACAAGTAATGGAGGAGTCTGATCATTTTGTGGATGCTGGGAAACAGAGAGAGGAAAATGTGGGTGAGAAGACATAGCCTTCAAACCCATGGTCTCCATGACCCATTTCCTATGTTCAGGGATCATTTTCCATAGTTTCTTTCACTTGCCGATAGCCCGCTTAATGTTGAAGCTATTGACATGTTAATATATTGAGTAGGTCAGAATTCTCATAATCCAAACATTTCCTAAAATCTCAACATCTGATAGTGTACTAGGGGCTAAGTATTTAACATGTGAGGCTTTGGAACTTTTCAAACTCAAATTGCAACACACACTTACTCACTATCAGGCCATACCACAGACTCTCACCATGCCCTGCTAAACCATCCCTAGCCACCCTGAGCCTAGTTTACACCCTCTTCTCCCCATCAATCCCACAGATGTCGAAAAAGCTCAGCTAATCATCCCGGTCCTGTTAGTGTCTTGACTGAGAAGTATGGGCTCATGTCCCCAGAGAAAGTACTTACACTCACATCCTAAAACAGGCTGTTGATTGACCATCTACTCCTTCCAGGATCTTCAGTGGGCTCAATGGTGTGTTCTGACTCCAAGCCATAACAAAGAATGTCCCAAATAGAGTTCTTCATTCTGCCCAGTGTGCAGAGTCCTTGGTCAGAATAGCTAGATCAATACCCTTTCTGGTGTGATAGTCTAGCTGGGAAAAAAGAGGCTAGCTCAGAGAAGAGTTGGTCCCTGCGCACCTGAGACAGAGTCCAGCCCATCTCTTGGAAGAAGCTAGTAAGAGACCCTAATTACCATCCAGAATGTTTTCATGATGTGCTGCTATTCCTGAAGACCTTGGACAGATTTTGTCCCCTCTGCTCTTCACATCAGTCCAGAGAAATAGATGGAGAGGAAACCTAACAAAGGCAACATGACTCTCCCACAGACCTATAGTTTAAAAATGCTTATGCCATCAATATACAGACAGTTCTGGTCTACCTCAGTTCTTCCCCTCTTTGTCCCCACGGTGCCACCTGTACCAATGGGAGAGTTAATCCAGGGTGGAAGGTGGGGAAAGTAAAGAGGCTTGAGAGGTACTGACATCTTTGCATATTCTTTGCAGTCATCTATCCGTGCAAGCCGGAGGACCATTGGTGGCTACTTCCTGGCTGGGAGATCTATGACCTGGTGGCCAGTGAGTTGACCTTTCCCCTCTTCTCCCAGGATATATTCTCAGCATTGGCCATCCATCACCTCCACTTTCTTGCCAGAATTATATCAGTGCCCTCTATTGATTTTCCCAGCTGTGGATTCCCCTCTTGCCCCAATCCACCCAGCAGCCTGAGCCACCTTCCCTGGATTTTTTTTCTGTATATGTCACAGATGGTGGTCTAGGAGTTCTTTGTTCTATATAGACAGTAAAGGAACATAGTGCTGATAGCACTCAATTTCAGAAGTTTGTAATCTGGGATTCAAAACAGAAGCTTACAGCTCTATACTGTAGAACTGAAGTCTCATGGCCCCAGCTTGTGGAACCAGAGAGTTCTTGTTCTACGGGTTCTAGAGCAGGGGGTGTTGCTCTGAGCTTGAAGCTCCAACACCCATGAAGTAAATTAAGTTACAGCTCCTGAGCTTTGTGTGTTGGGGCCCTCAGCTATTTAACCCTTGGTGTCACCCTCAATCTTTTTTCAGTGACCCAGAATTACAACCACTTACTTTCAGCTACCATCTAGCCCTTCACAGTCTCTTGGATTCTCAGTAGTCCCATGATAGTCTTAAGATTCTTCTGTTTCTGACCTCAATTTTTGTGTAACTCTTCAGCCTAGTTAGTATTCTTTGTCAGAACTCTAAATATCAGGGTCATTAGCTCTCAGGGGGCCTGTGGAACTCTTAGCTGCCTCCTCACCTCTAAAGCTTACATGATTTGTGGTCTAATATCTGCTCTTCAGGCAACAAACCTGGTATTTTCTACCTGAGGAGGAAAAGAGACCATTTGGGTCAAATGTTTCAACACTGGGTTATTGCAGGAATTTTGGGAGAATACACAGAAGATAAGGCTCCCCAAAAAAAAAAAACTGGAAAAAAGAGTGATAACCAACCAATGTATATGGCCAGAAAAGAAGTGAAACAGTTTTACTCAGAATATAATTCCAGCTCTTACACCCTTTTATACATATAGCTTCCAAATCCTCTAATCAAACCGTTATATAAGAACCAATCACAAGACTTACACTGTACCAATCACAGACTAATTCTGTGCCCCTGGGGAAATGCTCCTCCTCCTGTGTTACTTGAGTAGTTATAGGATAAGTGGAGTTATCTATCATACACTAAGGCCAGGTTAGCCCAAAGTGTGGTCTTCCCAATCTGGTGCATGTTTTCTGAAGTAGTCATGGCCATAGCATGGTCTCCTAAAGCAGCCATTTGTGGCTTCCACAGCACCAGAGTCACAGCATCCTCTGAAGATGGAGTGTTAGTTTTCTTAATAGATCCATAACCATAGTCGCAGCATTCCTCTGAAGATGGAGTATTGTTTCCCAATAGATCCATAAAGTATTTGAAGCAACTGAGATACCACGATGACAGTGTAGGCAGTCACCCAATAGGAGCTGCTCAACGGACAGCTGCCCAATTGAGAAATCCAGGCTTAAGAGAAAAAATTTGCCAGCTGTCATTCAAAGGAAAGAACAGCTAATGCTCTACAGTTTTTCTCATTCACAGGAAAATAACCTAAAAGAAATAAATACCCTTAAAAACACTTGCTGTGCTCAACCTGGTATTCAAATATCCAAGGAGAGTTGAATACCCTCCTCTGTTTTCAGGCGTGGGTCTTCTGTTGGGCACTAGATCTATCAAGATATATCTGGACTTCCCTGCTCTAGAGATGCTCCTAGCTGAGTGGGCATAAAGACTTAGGAACAATATAATCAAACCCGGGATACCGGGAAGTACTGGGGTTGCCCATAGCTTAGTGAAGTTGCTGGTTCTCAGGCAATGGGTGGGTAGAAAGTAGAAATAATTTTCTTGAAAGGTGGCACCTATACTTAATACTAAAGAATAGTGCAGTGAGAGTCAGGAGTGAGTTCCCAAAAATCTACAGAAACTGTCCCCAGGCACTTGTCAACCCCCATCTCTCCTATCAGACCACACCCTACATTTCTATTGATCCCTGAAAATTAAATTCCTCTTCCCAAAGTCAGAGGAAGGGAGGTCAGGCCTACTTGGAAACCCAGTCACACCAAACTCACACACAAATTCCTACATGCTCATTCATGTACTTAGATATTCTCTCCTTCTCGCAGTCACACACCCACACATTAAGGCAGTCATACACACACATTCATACAAGCCAACATTCACATGTCCTTGCACAGTGCATACACACGTTCACTCTCATACATTCCTTCACATAATCTTACACAAAGACCTCCACGTACCTATTCGCTTACTCAGTCTCACAGTCACTCACACTTGTACTGTCAGCCATTTTTGCACCTCCATTTCGGTGATGTTCACCACGCCTGACCACCACCGCTCACACTCTGCTCTCCAAAGTGTAGAGAAAACACTGAAAGCCTTCAGGATTCTCTGAAAGATTTGGTTATCTGGAGCAAGAAGATCTAAGGACGGGGAACCTATGTCTGTTTAACGTGATAGACTATCTGAGGATGTTGGGGTCTGGGAACCTGGAAACCCACCAGGAATGACTGGTGCCTCCAGCTACTCTTTTATGAGGAAAAGCAAGGAAGCAACCAACCAAACAAACAAACAAACAAAGCTTGGTAATGGTACCATTTACTTAGCCAGGGCCTCAAAATTCACAGCCTCCAGCTACTTCCTCACTGTTAATGATCCTAAGCCCAGGCTACCTCAAACTAACTCTGACCCTTGACTCTTAACCTCACTTGTGCTTTGCAGATCGGAGCATCTCTAATGTCCAGCAATGTGGGCAGTGGCTTGTTCATCGGCCTGGCTGGGACAGGGGCTGCTGGAGGCCTTGCTGTGGGTGGCTTCGAGTGGAATGTAAGCAAGCTGACCTGACTGATACAGGGTGTTCAGGGCCAGAACCAGGTCCTGTGACTGGCCTTAGAGATGAAAGATATTTTAGAGGAACTTTGGAGGCTGTATGGTAAACAGAGGACCTATTATATAGATGATGAAACCAAGGCCTTAAAAAAGAAAAAGACTTGGCTGAGGTTTTCCAGATAAGCTGGGATGAGGACCCAGGTCCTTCAATTCCTTGTTCAGAGCTCTCCTTTACAACATGCTACCTCCAGGTGGGAAGCTGCTCATCTTTTCTACAACCACAGTACCTTCTCTATGCTCTTCCAGGCAACCTTCCTGCTCCTGGCCTTGGGATGGATCTTTGTTCCTGTGTACATTGCGGCTGGTGTGGTGACCATGCCACAGTACCTGAAGAAGCGATTTGGGGGACAGAGGATTCAGGTGTACATGTCAGTCCTGTCTCTCATCCTCTACATCTTCACCAAGATATCGGTGGGTATGACTTCCTTACCGTGGGCATTATGCTGAGCTCACTAATGGCAGGGGGAGATGGGAGGGATGAACGGGAGGGGGAGGAATGGAGGGAGGAAATAAAATGAAACTGTGTGTGGATGGAATGAAGGATAGAGGGAAGGAAAGGCAGATCCATGACTTCAGAGAATGCTTCCATCCAGAAGTGAGGTGATCAGAAATGAAGGATAAATGTTTTAAGTGAATATTGATCTTTCACTCAAAAAAATCTATCAAACTACAATCTCTGCTTTTATCTTTCCACTAATTAGTGCTTCTTCATTAAGCAATGATTAATAGCCTAGAATGTTGGTGTCCGAAAGGTCTTTACTATCACTTTATTGAACTAAACATAGAAAACAAACTTAAACATGTCAAATGAGTTATCCAGGTCTACACAGAGGAAGGACCATGTCTGGAATCAGAACTGGATCTTGACTACCATACCCCAAGAGGGTTAGGTGATGACATCACTATCATTTCATAAATTCTAATCAGTTTACAAACAATCATGTTATGGGCTAAACAAACAAGCTGAAGGGCACAGAATCAATCATGTGCTAGATCTAGCAATGAAATTACTTTGAGGACAAACACTGTTGGCTGAAGGAAAGCCTACACCCGCCCTAAGTCCCACAATAACACAAGCATGGGGATCACCCCGAGCCGACGGTTGGCTGCCCAAGCAGCCCAGTAGGCCTCTGCTATGTCATGGAGCAGCCAGCAATGCTACTCTCCCCTTTCAAATGCTGTCTTCTCCATCCCCATCTCCTCCTCGCTTTACTTCCTTCGCCTTCCACTTTATTTTTTTCACCCTTCCCTTAATAATAGACAGACAAATCTTTCAGGACTGGCTGATGTTTTTTAATCAAATCATTATACAGTATTGTTTCACTCTAAATTCCCCCATGCCTCCATGTCTGCAAGGTCAAGCCCACATTCCCTAGTGTGGCACTTTAATGCCAAGACCAAACTTATCAGCATGACACTTCAGCCTTGTCTTCATTGTTTGATGACAGCTGAGGACAGGCTGAGGACACCTGATAAGCTAGGACACACTCACAACCATCCTGGAAGCATTGGGTGACATGGATTTGGGGGTCCTGGCTTTCTACAGACTGATATCTTCTCTGGAGCCCTTTTCATCCAGATGGCCTTGGGCTGGAACCTCTATCTCTCCACAGTGATCTTGCTGGTGGTGACAGCGGTCTACACCATTGCAGGTATGAAGCGGGAAGAGCTATATTGATATGTAGAGACAATGAGGTGAAGAAGGATGCTTTCACAGGCGACGACACAGAAATATAAAGATAGAGACAGGCAGAAGACTGGTAATCCTGAGAGAGACAGTGAAAGAGAGACAGAGACAAACTAGCAAAGTCAGAACTGTCATATGAGAGAACACAGAGAGGAAGATGAAAAGACAGTAGAAGAAAAAGTAGATAAGAAAGGCAGAGATGAAAAACCACCCCACAAAGCAGGAGAATGAGAGAGACTTGGGGTCCCGCTGAGGACGAGCTCCACAGGGACGAGGTGAGAGATCAGTGAGCTACTGTCTGGGCCCTAGTCACTGTCACAAAAGCCAGGAACCCACTCTGCTCTGTTTCCTTCAAGTCGTAGAACAGGGTACTCTAAGAAAGCTTCCCAGGACATAACAGCTATGGCTAAGCTGTCTTTGAATGATGGGGGATCTCAGTGGGCTTTGTGAGATAAAACAGAGAGCCTGGGGATATGAATGACAAGGACAGAGGCTGTTAATGGATTGATGAACAGACCTTTCCACCGACAGAAATAGTTAAGTCAGAACACAGTGGTCTGCAACCAGCCTCCATTGTCCTTGGGTGGGATAGAGAAAGAAGGGATGAAGAAGGGTCTTTCACCAGGGTTCCCTGCTAAAAGGGCTCTGTCTTCTTTCGTCTCCCAGTGTGGCCAGACATAGGACAGGCACCTACAGAGAAACCTCCCATTGATGCTGACTGATTTATCCTCCCCTTGTGTACACAGGGGGGCTCACAGCTGTGATCTACACAGATGCTCTGCAGACCATTATCATGGTTGGGGGAGCCCTGGTCCTCATGTTTCTGGGTAAGAAAAAAAGTCTGAATATACCCCATCCTGATCCCTAGAACTTTCCATAGCACAAAGCATATACCTTTTCTAGGCCAGCAATCCTTAAAATCAGGATTCTCAGTACTCTAAACCAAGAATCTTAAATCCAAGGCCCAGTGTCCTTGCTCATTCCCAGTCTTCCTATCAGTTCAAATCCAGAGGCTCACATGAGGGTAGGAGTACAGCCTCCGAGCCGTTTCTCACATCGTGTCTCTCCCACAGGCTTTCGGGACGTCGGCTGGTATCCAGGCCTGCAGCAGCTCTATAGACAGGCCATTCCCAATGTCACAGTTCCCAACACCACCTGTCACCTCCCACGGCCCGATGCCTTCCACATGTTTAGAGATCCAGTGAATGGAGACATCCCCTGGCCAGGTCTCATTTTTGGGCTCACAGTTCTGGCCACCTGGTGTTGGTGCACGGACCAGGTAACATGCCCAGCCTGGGTAGGCCCAGCAGGGGCATCCTGAAAACCAATAAACAAGCAGGCACCTGGGTATGTAGAGGGTCTGTAGGGTATGTGCCTGAGACTGAGTGGAGGCAAACAATGGTCAGTGTTGGGGCTCACCTGTACTGAGCTGAGCCTCTCTCTGACCTGGTGGCATGTCCTCACTGATATTGTTTCAGGTGATTGTGCAGAGGTCTCTCTCCGCCAAGAGTCTTTCACATGCCAAAGGAGGCTCAGTGCTGGGGGGCTACCTAAAGATCCTCCCAATGTTCTTCATTGTCATGCCTGGCATGATCAGCAGGGCTTTGTACCCAGGTAAGAGCTAACACTGTTTTCTGTGTATTGTGAGTTTTGCAAGGCATTTGCAGAGAAGGTGTTCCTGGGATAGGTAAACCAGAGCAGGGATGAGGAGGATTTCCCCATTAAGAGAACATAGAAAGCATTTTAGACTTTGTACTGAAGTAGAAGAAATCTACATGTGAACATCAGTTTAAATTACCCCTTATATGGAGAAGATACAGTTAAGGCGTTCTTGGTCCCTCCCAAGGATATTTGATTTTAAAAAGGGAATCAAACAAGCTTCGCAGAGTAGTTCATATGCAACAAATCTACAGGCAATCAGACCGCTTGTCATTTCACCTTCTAGACTAGCTTGAGGTCTCTGGTGAACGTATTCCTATTGAATCAGAAAGCAAATAGTGGGCCAGTCTAAAGAGACACAGCATCATATAATCATACGACCCCTCCGTTTGCAGATGAAGTTGCCTGTGTGGACCCTGACATCTGCCAAAGAGTGTGTGGGACCAGAGTGGGGTGCTCCAACATTGCCTACCCCAAGCTGGTTATGGCTCTCATGCCCGTGGGTGAGTGTCATCTCCCCTACCCTTTTCCACCACCCAGTACCCAAGATTCACTAGCTAAAATGGACTGAACTACAAGTACATGGAAAGAGAGGAGAGAAAGACCCACCTCTGCTTCCACTGCAGTGTATACACACACACACACACACACACACACACACACACACACACACACACA